TTGATGTAATCCAACTGAAATTGGAAAAATACTTGGTCAAACCACCTTGTGTTTGAACACAAATAACAGTTCGAACATACATATCCCTAATAACTTGAATATAAGCATTATTAACCCCTTTGTTTTTTAGAACTCTCCATAACACTTCTCTTGGAACTTGATCGTATGTTTTCTCTAAATCAATAAATATTATATATATATCCTCCTTATTCTCTCTATACTTCTCCATCAAACCTCTCAATAAATGTATGGCTTCCATAGTAGACCTACCCGGCATGAATCCAAATTAATTTTGAGAAATATTAGTATCACATCGTAACCTATGCTCCATAACTCTCTCCCAAAGTTTTAGAGTATGACACATCAACTTAATTGCTCTATAATTCGCACAATCTTGTGCATCACCTTTATTCTTAAAAATAGGAATCAACACACTCATTCTCTACACATCTGGCATTTTTTAATCTTCAAAATAATATTAAAAAGTTTAATAAACCAAAAAAGTCCTTCATCACCTAAAGCATTTTCACACCTCTATAAGAGCTAAGATAAAGCCAACTTAATTACATTGAACTCAACTCATAGTTATTGGGATTCAAACTATTGCAAAAAAGGAATGAAAATATGAAGGTTGTATCCATGGAAAGCCGCATTGACTATCTTTCCCAATTACATCAAAAGTAAAAGATCCATCTAATCTTGTGTATCCTGATATTCATTGACAACGAAAGCACATACATTCAAACAAAAAAATATAGTCTTCGCTTTAATGATGATTATAATAGTATGGTTGTGTGGGGCTTCATCAATGCCAGATAGCAAACAACAACAAAAGACCAGTGGTCATAGCGGATATTGACAATGTCATGCATAGGCTTGGTTGGATGAGCCTTGATTTCATTGTAAACTCTATTTTGGAAACTTCGTGGCCAATAAACTTTCATTTACAGTCACAACTCATATTTTATTCATTGCATTGTGATAATTATTATCCATTTATTCATTATCTCTCTTTTTTTACTTTCAAACCTACTTACTTTGTTCCGATTAACATAAAGCTTGGGTTAAACATTCAAAGTCACAATAAAATTATGCAAGTCATGATAATTGAATGATAAAGCAAGCAGCTTTCAGAATTATGATGCAACTACCAGGTGATTATTATTTGTTAATAGATTACGAAAATTATTAGTTGAGGTTAAGATAGTAATTATGCTGAAAAATCCAGATTTGAAGATTTAATTTCATCAAATAAGATTCTAAAAAATTAGGATAAAAGCACTAGCTTTAGTTTGTACAGAAATAAGCAATCCTAAAGCAGTGTAGATAAAATGGTGATGCATGTAAGGATTTTTACGCATTAATTGTAGTGGATAGCAGTCCTGCAATTTAAGCTGAACTGCACAACACTCAATATGGTATTCTTTGCCCACACTTAGACTTAGGATACAGGTAAGTATTGTGATAGGAAGTGGATGCAAAATCTGTGAAAATTTATAGTTGAAATCTGATTTCAGCAAACAAGAAATTGGAAAATCAAAGAAAGAACTCACAAGAACACTTTTTTATTCAAAATAGCTATGAATGAAGGACAAGATACAATTGGATCTTCAATTGGAGAAGAAGATCTAGCTCTCCCAAATTTCTAGCCGGCGGCTAGAGCCCAATCAACCTAAGCAAAACTAATTCTAGCAAAATCAAGCATATCTTATATCACCCCATAGTTAGCCTTAAATAGGCTTCTCTAATTCCCTCTCAAATCAGCCCACTTTCCCTAAATAATTCACTCTTATATTTGAATTCAAATTAAATTTTTTCTTAATTAATTCCCTCCCAATTATAATTAAAACTTTCCTAAACAATTCTCTTCTTAATTTCTCTTTTTCCATAAATAATTCCCTTTTAAATTTTGAATTCTATTTAGATATCTTGCCCTAAATAATTCCCTTCCAATTATAATTAAATTTTTACTACACAATTCTCCTTTAGTTTCTCCTTACATAATGAATATTAACTTCCCCGGGCTTTCCATAAATAATTCCCTCTCATATTTGAAATTCAAATTAGATTTCTTTCCCTAATTAATTACCTCCCAATTATAATTAAAACTTTCCTAAACAATTCCCCCTCTCTCTTCTTGTCCACAGCCCACCCTAGTGGGGCCCACCGGCTCAGTCGTCGATCCATCATTGATGTAGACAAGGAATATAGGGGACCCTATATTTCTTGAACACAAAAGACACACAAGAAGAACACTGACAAAATGAGTATAACTTAAAACAAACTTTGTTAAATAAACTCAAATGACCCAAAACTTGACAAACACAACAAAAGATGCTAGGAGAAAGAAATAAAGAAACTTAAAAAAGATGCTATCCTCAGACAACCGTCAGAGCGGGTTCCTCACATGCATCGAATTTGTAGGTTAAATAAGTAAAGTGCATAAAACTAGCAAACCGATGAAATAAAATAGAAAACACAATATACTAATGTTCTAACAAAATAAAAAGTACAGAATTCTTGATTTCATCAATCATATTGCAAGAAAGGCTCTTCCTATCAATTGCGGAATTCTTAGGTCCTAAGCCCTAAATTAAATTTTCCAAACAAGAAAACAAAAATCCAATTCAAGAGAGATTTAATGCTCAATCATAAAAAATAAAAAAAATAAACCCTGGGATATACCTCAAAAAAAGTAATTCTACTACAAATGGGCAACTACAGGGCTTGGGGTAGCCCTTACAGCAACTTCTAGAATAAGGACTGGCTGGAGCGGCAATAGTTGGCAATAGGCGGGAGAAGGATAGGTGAGTTGTTGCAAACTTTCAAATTCAATTTAAAATATTTTTATTCGAGTTTAAATTGGGGGAGGATATATTATGGTGATTGCTCAAAGAAGAGAAGATGGAATGGTTACTTTAAAGGGAAGTAAATGATAAGAAAATTTTAAAAATGAGAAAAATTTGATAAGACTGATGCAACTAACTTCCGATTTTGATTTAAAATGAATTTTATATTTGAGTTGAATTTAAAAAAAAATCATACTCATGTTTTCTTTTTCTTTTACAAATTTCAAATTCAAAATTTATTTTCTTTTGAGGGTGTAGGGAAGCTAAACAGCAGTAAACAAAAAAGAAAATATTCAAAGGTCACAGAGATGGACAAATAGGGAAATTAACCTAAAGAAGGTTTTGATTGTCGCACAACTATTAAATTACTCAGAGATAAGTCACACAAAACACAAAGGGAAACATAAGATTGCTAGTCATGGGCTCCAAATGCATGAAATTCAAGTTTTACATTCATCAGCCAGGTCTAAAAGTGGGCATGTTAAATATTTATAAACATAACATGACTTGCAGAATTATAATGAGGCATATACATTAAAAAACAAAACCAACTTGGACAAGGATAAACAATAAAAAATTTTATAACAATAAAATTTAAAAACAATAAACATAAAGAAAATATCATAATACTTAGTTTAATATAATCTCCAGTGGAATATCAATGGCAATGATGAACAAACTCTGGCACATTACACTACATGATATGCCTGATTTTGGAGTCATTAGGCCTTTTACAGCTTATTTCAGTTCTTTAAATTATCAATGTGTTTACTCCAAAATCCTAGTTGTGTGTTAAGGTATAATATCATTTACTTTATCCAAGTATTTGGGGAAAGCTACCACCTAGTGCAATATTAAAAATGAATGAAAATGAGTATTCATAATGCTAAATATTTGGGATAACATTGCTTATGACATTGAATCTCATTGATACAACAACAACAACATCATCAAGCCTTTATCCCACTATGTATTATCGATTACATGAATTCTTTTTTTTTTTTGTGTTCTGTTAAGAGTCAAATTTTTATTTAAATCTAATAAAAAAGGTTTTCTCTAATATTTTCTAACAAAGTCTTTTTAGGTATGCCTTTATCTTTATTAACATATGTCAAATCTAAAACATCTGATCTCCTAACTGGGTCATCGAAAGGCCGACATTTTGTGTGAACAAACCATCTAAGGCAATTCTCATCTCTGTTAATTGGGTCATCGGAAAGCCGACATTTTGTGTAAACAAACCATCTAAGACAATTCCAACATTTTCATGTACTCATTTTGCATTCTATTTCTAAAAAGAAAGCCACTCATCTACCTGAGCATTCTCATCTCTATGATGCTTAACTTAGTTTTATGCTTCTCTTTTAATGGCCAATAATTTGTGTCATAAAGCATTGCAGGTCTCACTACAATCTTATAAAATGAAGAATTTAAAATAAAACATTAGGGCATTTAAAGTCGGCACAAATAGGTGAAATAGGTTTAATGATGATATCGGTCCTGATTGATAGAATTAGGAATTTGAAGTTAAAAATATGGCAAAAAACGTCATAATGTTTGGAGATTTAAATAGTTGTTAAATGGTTGACGATGATGTCAGACCTCATTGATGGAATGAGGAAATTGAAGTAAAAAATGATGATAAACATCAAAATATTTGAAGAAATCTTCAAATTTCAATTCCATTATCACAAGGCAGCACTTAAACCAAAAGTTGCCTACAAATTAAGTGTATAAATTCAATTAATTCCAGATTCTCGATCTCTGTGCACTTCGAAATTTTGAGGGGGAAATCTAATGATTTACATAAATGCCTCCTATAGCATCATTAAAGGAGGCACCCCATCTGAATATCATCTAGGATTGGGGGAGCTGCGCAGAAGAACTTCTAAATATAAACCACATTCGTCGGAGTACATGGTCAAGAAAAAATGCATAAATGTCTCTAATACCAACAATCAAATAATTTCCAAATAAACAAAGACCAAAAATCTCAATTATGGGTCTCACAAAACTGCATTTACAGCTTCTGATGCTTGGCTGCATCTCCAAAATCAATCACCGTTTCACAAATTTTACAATCAACAAAAATAACGAAAAGCGTAAAGGGATGCCTCCATAAATAATTCGTGGAAGGAATGGAAAGGATACCTCGATTCATAAAGAACCAAGGAGCGCCGAAGACGACCGATATGATAGCGATGCCTGCGAACACGTGCTTCTTATCACCGCTATACAAGAAGTGCTCAAGGCGGGATCTGAAGCCGCCTCCGCTTCCTGTGCTGCTGTCGCCACCGGCCATTTTATGTTCTCCTCGTCTAGCCTGCCTCCGTTCGATCGATAGCGTTGATCCGCTCGCTCTAGAGCACTCTTCTAGGTCCCGGACCTCCCGGTTAAGCCAACTCGACCGAAGAACCACCACTCACACTACCTAATAAATAAATATAAGGGAAATTTACATACATACCACTTTATACCTAATATTTTACATATCTAACACCTCATTCATTAATATTACATATTTACCACTCAAATCCCAACTTTATAACGTTTCTACCACTCCATCTAACGCCTCCTCACGACGTTTCTCTGCCTTCCGAACGACGTTTCTCTGCGTTACTGTTGGACGGCGTGAATCTGAGAGTCGGTTAGGGCAGAACTGGAGAAATCAGAGCTTGGGGGAAGAAGGTAAGCTCTCATGCATTCTCTCATTTTTGTTGAAAACGATTTGTTTTGCTCGGAGACTAGCTTGCTCGGAGACTAGCTTCTTGTTCGTCAACTAAAAGATGAGTTCTGTTAAAAATAGCCGGATCTAGTTCAAATATGTTGGTATTCCTGATGCATTCCTTGAAAATGATCTTTTAGGTTTTCCGGATCTCGTTCAACTAGCTTCTTGAAAATGATTTTGTTAGGTTTTCCGGACATTTGCTTAGGTATTCCTGCTTGCATTTCTTGAACCCGTACAGAAAGAAGTATCGAAATTGTTAGAAATTCCTTGCATTTCTTGCAATACTCGTTGTTCAAAGATCCATTTAGCATTTCTTGCATTTACTTGAGTTTGCTGAAATTCTTAGCATTTCTTGGTGGAGGCCGATAACTTAATTCCTTGCATTTCTTATTAATTTATAAATGGCTAAGCAATCAATCTACTGTTGTGCATAATTTTAGGTTTTGCAAAAGTTTTAATGAGTTCTTCCAGCTCTTCCGTTGTGAAAAACAGGCTGCAACATTCTAAGGTGTACTGTCATTGTCATCTGAAATGTGTCTTATTTACCTGCCACTGAGGACCAAACAGTGGAAGGCAGTTTTATAGGTGTGTTTATAATAGAAGTGAGGACGACTGCAGTTACTTTAAATGGGTGGATGAGCAAGAAGCCCCATCTTATGTCACACATTACGAATTGAAGGCATATGAAGCAAGAAATTCTAAGAATTTTGACTCGATTCGTCTTACATTGAAAGTTTTGTTAGTGATGGTTTTTATTGACATTACAGTACGAGATTATTTTGGTTAGTGTCATATTGTGTTCAAGCATATGTTGTGCTTGCTTTTGTGGAATGCAAAACAAACTTTGGTGTAACTTGGAGAAATGATCTCCTTCTATTGTATGAAAAAGAAACATGTATTTTCAGCTTTTGTGGAATTAAAACAACTCCTTATTATTTTAATGTTAATTTCTATTTGAATCCCAAATTATAGATATGAAATATGGTACTAGCTCCAGTTCAGTTTGGCTCCAGGTAATACCAATATTCGGTTCCAGTATCCAGTTCTGATTTGCTCCAGGCTTAAGCTAGTAGAGCAATGCTTATGTGCAGAATTGAATGGAGTATTAATTGCGCAGCCTCAAAATCATGTTTAACCTCACAATTGAATGCTTATGTGCAGATTTGAGTTTTAATTGTTCAATCAAAATGGAGTATTAATTGTTCAATCAATGCTTACGTGCAGAATTGAATGCTTATGTGCATAATTGAATGCTTATGTGCAGAATTGAATATAGCATACATGTTCAACCTTCTTATCATATTATTTGTAATCATATGAACTTCAAAAAACACAAAGTTATGTGTACAAAAAATTAAGACCAAAAACATTGTCAGCCAAAAAAATCATATGCGGTCTTCAATTTAGCTCAGAGACCTTCAACATACGAACAATCATTTTCACAACCCTCACTGAAGTCTTGTGGAGTCCGTTGACTTGGCAATTTAGCTAGTTTTGGTTGGCCCACTTGTGATAATAATGCGTCATCAATGATACTCCTTAATGGATTCTTGCATGTACTTCGATGATGACCCCAAAGACCACATCTGCTGCATTTATGGACCTTCTTATCCTTCTCCAAAAAATTAGGCAATCTTTTTCTTTTGGGTCTTCCTCTAGGTCTACATGTATTTGGTACTCCAAGCTCTACCACATCATTAACTACTTGCCACTGACCCTTCCCAGGTATAGTGGCGATTGCTCCATCATACGTCATCCGGTACCTAGAAAACTTGTAATCATTAATGATTGTTCGTATGTTGAAGGTAATAATAACATAGTAGTAATATTACGGTGAAATCATTAGCTTGTAATCGTTTATAAATATTACCTGTAAACGTAGTAGTAATCATTAACATATGTATGCCACAACGGATGCTCCCAACCATAAACTGACTTCGTGACCACTTGTAAGGTAATGAAATAAGGTACGCATGTATAGTCTGATTTAAAACACTTAGTTCAAATAGCTTGGTATTATACTCTGTGCAAGTGTATGCATTCGCTGCTGCCCAAACCAAACCTTGGAGTTTATGGCCATCTTTGCAATGGAAATTTTTTTTAATATTCTTCCACAAATGACGAATACATATTCTATGTTCAGCTCCAGGGTACACTTCTCTAATGACGAATACATATTATATGGATGACCCTTAATCCATGGACATATTCTAGCAATCTCTCCTCTATGTGTGAAAATTGTGAGTTGTCCCTTCTCAACTTTAACAGTCCTTTGTTTGCCACCATCATACCTCTTTCTATGTTGGTCATTGGTTTGAACCCAGATTCCACCATACTTAAATACAACAGAAATATACTCTTTTTGCTCTTCATATAAATTTTCTTCAATATTGTCACCATATGCCAGCAGTAACAATAGTTAAAATGTTATTTGAACATTAATTAAATCTTGCATATGAATCATTGAACACTTACATAATTGGTCGTCTTAGAAACCATCAGTATTTGCTTCAAATAAATACACAATTTCCTTCAAATTTCTGTTTCAAACAACAAACAATGTTTATTAATGCCATGTAAGTTTATCCACAAAAGCTACAAAAAAAAAATCTGTTTTATTTGAAAGAAAAAATTTCTGTTTGTTTATCCACAAATGCTACAATGGCACAAATAAAATTTTCTGTTTTATTTGTCTCCTAACTTTTATTTATGTTTTAAAAATTTCTATTTTTTTTTTTAAATTTCTGCTTATATCCACAATATCTATTTAGTGCCATTGTAGCAATGACGAGTTTTCTGTCTTATCCATAAAATCCACAAAATTTCTGCTAATCCACAACTGATACAATTACGAAATTCTGCTTCTTTTTAAAAAATTATATTTTGTTTTCAAAAATATGTAGTAGTTCGTATTAGTGCCATTGTAGCAACCTCAAGGAAAAACGGCAGAAGACATTACCGTGGAGAGAGTTGCGATCAGCAGCAACTGTTTCGGCTTCAGAAGGTGGAAAATGTGAGACGTCCGACAAAAGGCTCCAACAAAAGGAAATATGAGATACTTAGCAGCAACGGGTATTTCGGCGGGAAGAGATACTTCCGTCAATCCGTCACTGGTATTGGGCGGGAGGTAGAAACGTCGTGAGACAGTGTTAGATGGAGTGGTAGAAACGATGTAAAGTAGGGATTTGAGTGGTATATATGTAATATTAATATATGAGATGTTAGATATGTAAAATATTAAGTATAAAGTGGTATGTATGTAAATTTCCCTAAATATAATTACTCATGCGTGAATAAAATGAACAATTATTACGTCTCTGACGGGACTTAGAGGAACTTCCGGAGGTCAAATCTGGTCAAAAATCGAGCAAATACCGAACAATATCAAACAATAACAAGGAATACCATCACGTGAAGACTCAATACCGAGTTATACCGAGCTATACTGAGTTTTTCCTAGAAAAAACTCGGTACAACTCGGTATTGCTCTGTATAGCTCGGTATAATTCGGTATTGGTCTTCACAGAGCGGTATTTCTCGTTATTATCAAATAATACCTAGCAATGCCGAGCAAATGCCGAGTTTTTTGGCGGGATTTTGCCTCCGATCAGACGTTCCTCTACATCCTTACACCGGACCTAATAAAAGTTCGAATAAAATACATGAATAACTCATGCACCATATTGGTTAAGGCTTGAAAGCACCTCCAATTTGATATATGCATAAATAACAAACCCATGTGCAATTCTTTCTTCAATGCACATAAAAGTTGAGCAGTTTTTTAAGATCAAATATGATTTGCAGAAGAACGGATCTTTGAGTTCAATATCCAAAATTTTAGGCGAAGACAATTAATGTATATAACGTATTTCTAAAAAATAATCATGAAACTTATAAGTTATAAAGATACATTTTTTAAGATTTGAAATCATTAGAATGCATTGGCTCTCTGAATGTTTGAGGCCATGACCATCAATAAGCTTTGAGTTCAATATCAAATTTTTAGGGAAAGACATTTAATGTATATATATATATAACATGCTTCTAAAAAATAATCAAGAAGCTTATAAGTTACAAAGTTAACAAAGTTAGACATTTTTAAGATTTGGAATTATTAGAATGCATTGGCTCTCTGAATGTTTGAGGCAATGACCATCAATAAGTTTAGTCATGACTTATTGTATATATAATTAAGGACAAACTTGTTGGATGAAAAAAAAAATTGATGTCAAAGATGATATTATTGTATATGAAGAGAAACTAAATGACTAATTTGTTATATGAGAAGGCCTAGCAATGCAACAATGTAGTATTTATTTATATAGAGGATCTCCTAAAGCGATTCAGAAATGTTTATTATAGACATATTAAATAACAAAAATCTATGCACATCAATTGAAATTTAGCTTGACAATTAAGGATAATTTAAGTATGCAAACTTTTGTTTAGGTGTTTGTATTTGAAACTATAAATATATGTCATTTAGTGTTATGTGTCAACGAAATATTTCTCAATAAAACATATGAAGGTGCCTTAATAATGTTTGTGGCAAAAACTGATGGGAATGTCTCAGCCATGTGAGCAGTATTAGCCGTTGCTACTCCACTACCGCAATACCATAGTTGTTTTTCCCTTTCTGTTATGCATGTGCTTTCCTCGACCTTTTTAATTTTCCTCTTTTAATAGGAAGTTAGTTACTAGGCAGGCATATATACTCAAGAGACACAACATAGGACATATAAAAAATATACTTCCTGTTAATTATTGTTCCATTGGAATTGTGTGTTTCTAACCCTCTTACAGGTCTCCTTTAGGTGTTCTACCTCCGATCGGCTCCGCTCCGGCACTTTGTCGCAGGTGAGAGACATCAGGTTGGTATCAGAGCTAGCGCTTGGAGATGGTTGCAGAGAGTTCTCGAAAGGCTTCTGATGATGATCGAAGTTTGAATGTCATGTGAGCAGTGTGCAAGCTAACGTCGCTTGGCAACTGAATGAACTGAGGGAGGACTTCATCCGCCTCTCCATGGAGCTCCGTAACGACATCCAGTATCTCAAAACTTCCATCGAAAATGTTCCCACACCAGGTCAGCACCAAACAGAACCTGCACCGGTCATGAGAATTCCTCTGGGCTGAAAAGGACGATACATGCATCATCATCCAGCTGCGAGAGAACTCTCTGATTCGGGTGAAGATATTAACTATCAAATACAAGACGATTTCTCATACTCAGAAGATGAAGGTTATCATCGGCACCACAATCGCCATAGGCCTTGTGAATTTTGGCAGGGCGGACAAGCGGAATTCCGGGTAAAACTGGATATTCCATTTTTTGAGGGTAGATTGCATATCGAAGACTACCTCGATTGGGAACGAGCGGTTGAATCGTTCTTTGAATATATGGAGATCAGCCCAAAAAAAATAGGTTAAGTACGTCGCTTGCCGTCTAAAGGGTGGTGCAAGTGCGTGGTGGCTACAGCTATTACAAAGCTGTCGGAGGGAGGGCAAGGGACCAATTCGTAATTGGTTTCGCATGAAACAACTACTCCATGGACACTTCCTCCCTATTGATTATGAACAAATGCTATACATGCAATACCAGCATTACTCGCAAGGTTCCCGCTCGGTAAGTGAGTACACCTAGGAGTTCTACCGATTGAGTGCCCAGAATAACCTGCAGGAGTCCAAAAATCAGCTTGTTGCGAGGTATATTGGTGGATTGGGGGATGTGATACAAGATAAGCTTGAGCTAAATTCGGTCTGGACCCTCTCTCAGGCAGTAAATTTTGCGTTGAAAGCTGAAACACAGCTTGTCCGTCATTCTCGCAGCCATTCTGTCTGCCGGTCATATGTGGAACAGAACACTGACTTCAACCAGAGCAATGTGGCTACTCCCAAGCCACCACGAGGGGCCAAACCGCCTACTGCGTCTCTTCCTAATTCCGAGTCAAATGTCACGACCGAACCTAAAGGACAAGGCAAAGCACCTGTTCCAGCCAGAGAGAATCCATATAGCATACCCAGTAGTTTGAAATGTTTTCGCTATTTTCAACCTGGACACAAATCCAACGAGTGTCCAAATCGACAGCGTATTCAAATCCTAGAGGGTGACATTCATAATGTCGAAAGCGAGCAGACTTTTACGGAGCAAGAACCTGAGGGAAGTATTGAAGACGTTCATGGTGATGACGGCGAACCCCTCGTGTGTGTCCTACATAAATTACTATTGGCACCTAGAAATCCTAATGCTTCTCAACGCAATGCCCTATTCCATACACGATGTACCATTCAAGGCAAAGTCTGTGATTTGTTAATTGATAGTGGTTGCACTGAGAATGTAATATCCCATTCGATTGTTCAGGCATTGCAATTGAAGACTACCCGCAATCCTCAGCCTTATAAAATCAGTTGGATCAAAAAGGCGATGGATGTGATGGTGTCTAATATGTGCCAAGTTAACTTCTTTATTGGGAAACATTTCGTTTGCGAAGTGTTATGCGATGTCATCGACATGGACATTTGCCATCTTATCTTGGGGAGACCTTGGCAATATGATATGAACGCCATTTATGAATGCCGACAAAACATCTACACATTGGAATGGAAGAGACGAAAGCTCAGGTTATGACCGCAGACCCTAACTGCTCAGGGAACCAACAAAGATCCAAATGCTATATTTCTGACTTCTGGTTAATTGCTGGTACAATCTCGGCAAGATGTTCAATCCCTATTGGCTCTAGTAGTATCTGACAGCTACAAAGAGTCTGCTCCTGCTTTTTATACACTGGAGGTACAAGAGTTGTTGAACAATTTCAGCGACATTCTTCCAAATGAGCTACCATCGAGAATGCCTCCCATACGCTCCGTACAACACAAAATATACTTGGTCCCAGGAGCCACATTGCCGAACCTACCGCTTTACCGAATGAATCCGAAGGAGTGCTCCATTTTACAGAATATTGTAGCTGAACTGCTTGACAAACAGTTAATTCAACACAGCCTGAGTCTGTGCGCCGTCCCTGCTTTATTGGTTCCCAAAAAGGATGGACAGTTGTAATGTGTATCGACAGCCGGGCAATTAACAAAATTACAGTCAAATACAGGTTCCCTGTACCATGGATCTCTGACTTATTTGGATCATCTTTCTAGGGCTGTCATATTTTCCAAGTTAGATCTGCGTAGCGGTTATCACCAGATACATATACGCCTGGGGGACGAGTGGAAGACCGCCTTCAAGACGCGCGATGGGTTATACGAATGGAAGGTCATGCCTTTCAGTCTTTGCAACGCACCATCCACGTTCATGAGATTGATGCATGAGGTGTTACAACCATTTTTGGGTAAAACATGTGTCACTTACTTTGATGATATTATTGTGTTTAGCACTAACCTTTCAGACCATCTTTGCCATTTGGCTGAAATCATGCAAGTTCTTCGCCACCGTGAACTATATCTATACCTGGCAAAGTGTGAATTCGCAACCACCTCGGTTCACTTCTTATGATTCATACTCTCTGTGAATGGTGTGGAAGTTGATCCCAGGAAAGTTGCAGCTATTCGAGAATGGCCCACGCCTCAATCTCTATTTGATATTCGAAGTTTCCACGGGCTAGCAAATTTTTACAGGCGTTTCATCAAGGGATACAATATACTGGTATCTCCGCTCATGGACTCCTTGAAGTCCAGCAGCTTCAAGTGGACGCTCAAATAACAAGCTAGTTTTGACACATTAAAAATGGCACTGAGCTCTGCCCCAGTACTCGCTTTGCCCAACTTCGATAAGTCATTCCATGTGGACACATATACTTCCACCCTTGGCATTAGAACTGTTCTGTCGCAAGAGACTCGTCCGATAGAGTTTTTTAGTGAGAAGCTAAGCCCCACCCGTTAAAAATGGTTGACTTACGAGCAAGAGTTATATGTTGTTATTAGAGCATTGAAACAATGAGAACATTACCTTCTTCACCAAGATTTCGTTCTATGCAGTGATAACCAAGCACTACAGTAGCTCAACAACCAAAAGTCCATCAATCGGATGCACGCTCGCTGGATTATCTTCCTACAAAAATTCACATTAGTATTACAACATAAGGCGGGAAAACTGAATCGGGTTGCTGACGCGTTCAGTAGATGATCAGCTCTGTTAGTAAGGCTTCAAATAGAGATTACATGTCTACAAGAAATGATGAGCATGTATGCTGTGGATACATATTTCGCTCAGCCCTGGGAAAGGTGTACAAACGGACAACCCAACGATGACTATAATATACGGCATGGATTCTTGTTTAAAGCCAATTGTCTATGTATTTTGAATTCATCATGGCGACAATTCCTTATAAAAGAATTTCACTCTGGAGGCCTTGCTGCTCACTTGGGATGTGAGAAGACATTGGCTCAGCTTCAAGATCATTTCTTTTGGCCTGAACTAGCTCGATACGTCTCACGGTTCATCGAGAAGTGCTCTATGTGTCAAACTTACAAAGGAACTGCCCATAACATTGGTCTATACTCTCCACTCCCGACACCGGATTACATTTGGGAGGACCTAAGCATCAACTTCGTTCTAGGCCTACCTCGGACTAAAAACGAAGTTGATTCTATCATGGTGGTTGTTGACAGGTTCTCCAAGATGGCTCACTTCGTGCTGTGCAAGAAAACGTTTGATGTCATTCATGTGGCTAAGCTGTTTTTTAAAGAAATCATACGCCTCCACAGGATACCACGCAGCATTACCTTCGATCGCGACATTAAGTTCGTAAGCCATTTCTAGCGTGAACTTTGGAAACGTCTGCGGACATATCCCAAATTGAGCTCAACTTACCATCCTCAAACCGATGGACAGACGAAGGTTGTTAATAGAATGCTGGGTAACATGTTGCGATGTATAGTCCAAGAACATCCAAAGAAGTGAGAAGATATGCTCAGTCAAGCAGAGTTTTCTTTCAATTCTATACCGAATAGGTCGACTGGATGCAGCCCCTTCAGTATTATTTATACAAAGATTCCAAATCATCTAATGGATGTGGCCATTCTCCCAAAATGACGAAGTACCCCCACCGCTCAATCAGCTAAATAGTTCCAAAACATTGTAGAAGAGGTACATGCTAAACTGGAAGAATCTAATTTGAAATATACACAGGCGACAGATGTGCATCGTAGGAGGAAAGTCTTTAATCCCGGCGATTTAGTGATGCTCCGCGTCCGGAAGGAACGATTCTCTCCAAGTACCTACAACAAGCTTAGTCCACGTAAAATCGGACCCTTTGCCATTTTGAGGAAGATCAATGATAACGCCTACATTATCGACTTGCCGGCTCACATTCAAACTTTACATACCTTCAATGTAAGTGATATCCACCCTTATCATCCTCCTGATGACGACAACACTCACTTATCATCATCGGAGACCGGCTCTTCTGAAGAAGGGGAGACCTTATGGGAATGTCTCATCCACGTGAGCAGTACTAGCTGTTGCTACTCCACTGCCGCAATATCATAGTTGTTTTTCCCTTTCTGTTATGCACGTGCTTTCCTCAGCCTTTTTAATTTTCCCTCTTTTAATAGGAAGTTAGTTACTAGGCAGGCATATATACTCAAGAGACACAACAGAGAACATATGAAAAATATACTTCATGCTAATTACTGTTCCATTGGAATTGTGTGTTTCTAACCCTCTTGTGGATCTCCTTTGGGTGTTCTACCTCTGATCGGCTCCGCTTCGGCACTTCGTCGCAGGTGAGAGACACAAAAACTAATATTTATAAAGTACAATTTGTATTAGTTGGGTTAGAAAATAATGACTCGTTGATATTTTATATGATTATATTAAGAGAGTTAATAGGCTTAGTTGAAAACTCAGTGTTCAACATAATAATATTATCAATGCTTATTTATAATAATTTTAATTAAGCATGCATCATAGTTCTTATACTTATCACATAGGGATGAATATCATCTTAAAGTTTAAAATGAGTACAATTATGAAAATGTTACTTGACGTACATAGTTTGTAAGGGGTTAATTTTGATAAAATTGAAATGAGTGATTCAACAATAAGAATAAAGTTAGCTTCGAGAGGCAGGCATCTACTTTTCTATGGGAACTAGTACAATTTAATGTTAGTTGGTTTAAAAAAAAAATCTTTAATAATATTACTAAAACAATGTGCACTTATAAATGATCATTTTGATATAGTTCTTAAGTCTGACAAAAAAAAGTCTCTTTTAAAGATGAACCATCATACTAAATGTTCAATTTATTTTGTCAAAACAGATTGAAAAGCATTAGGAAAGATCATGGCCAAGGCTCAAATATTAGTTGTTTATCTCATTATCCAATTTGATTGCATGTCCTTGAAAGTGATTTTAATGGTGAGGTAAATTTGAATAAGGAAGCATGACCATGATGAAATTTTTATGCAATGGGCCTATCATGTGAATATTTACTGGTTGCAACTCGTGATCAGGGTGCAAGCTACTACAACCTATGCTCAATGTTTTATACGCAAGAAGCATGATAAATCTATATTCTAAGAATATATATCCATTAGGAGATAGGATCGTGAGAGATTCTAAAAAAATAAAGAATAACATTTTGTTGCCTTTATCATTGATGTCAAATAGTTATCATGGAAATGAAAATAAAATACTTTCAATGGATAATAAAGGAAAATAATAAACTTCTAATAGTTCCAAATTTCTTGAGTTCTATATGACTTTTTTTAGCGGACCACCTAAAATCAATAACATAACTACGTAAATAAACATATCTATTCTAGAAATATATTTTTATTAACTTCTAATTAAATCTCTATCAATATATTTAACTTGCATAAATTTGTCTAGAGGACCTTTACTTGTTTTCAATATTTTTTCTCCATTGAATGGCTTTATTATGTCATTGTATAAAATAATATTTATTTGTATTAAGTGCTATTAAAAATTTTCTAAAAGAGTTAAACTTAAACATCACTGAAAATAATGTTGAATGCCTTAAACTTCATCAAATGTAATGTAGGTTGCATAGAATGTCGTCAAAGACAATATTAGACATGTCAAGTGTCACTTAAGACAACATTGAACATCTTAAGTTATTAATCCATATTTTTACTTGCATTACCTATCACATTCCATGAAATAGACAAAGTTAGGTATAAATAAATTGCATTAAGTACCTCAATTTATCTTCCTTCTCATTAAGTCAAGAATTCATCTATTGAGCTTTTTACCATCAAATAATTGTACCACAGTTGATTCAATCAAAATGTAAATAATAACTTTAGTTCTTCTATTTTTTATACAAAAGCTTGCAAACTCCTCTTTTTCTTTATTTCAGTTGAGCAGGAAATGAACACCCAAATACTTTCTTCTCTTTCTTCCTATCGGTCAAGCATAAACTCCTCCTTCACCTTTGTCTTCTTATTTCTCCTTCATTGAGCACGAGGGAGCTTCCCTCTCTCCCTTGGCCTTCTACTCATCCAAACTAAGCGAATTCAGTTTTCCTGGCATAATGAGTTGTGTCTAATTCCCATTCACGCCAGCCACACTTCCTCATTGTTGCTACTTCACTTATATTGCTTGTGTGCTTATTTACGGTAACCCACCCATTGCTCGATCAACTAGCCCGCTTAATCACTTGCTCTCCCTCTTTGATGCCTCTTCGCTGTTGTGCTGGACCGATTTAGTTGAATCGATCCTACTGAGTATTGAGCTTGCCATTTTAAAATCAAATCATAAGAAACCCATCGGAGTTAAGTGACATTTGTGCCTGATATGCACAATTGATTCTGATCATGGAGGAAAGATGAGGAAGAATTAAATCTTGCTCTTAAACATAATATGGATAATCTTTATCAGTCAATCCTCTTTGTCTTATAATTAATTATTAATTAGATGGATGTGAGGTAGCTCATTGAATGCATAGCTATTGCTATAAGTAGGGTTATTTGTATTATAGTTATCAACTCCCACACCCCGGGTCCGAAAGGTGACACACCACAGCAACATGAGACGTAATGAAGGGATAGGAAGACACGTTTTGTATTCACCAAAAAAAACATGCGTTAACAAAAAGAAGCATGCATATATCTGGAGATTGTGCAATACGATTCTGCACAATTAGGAGCAAAATCATAGTTGTTTTATCAAAATAAAAGAAATGCATGGTTGTGATTTCATCTTACCTATACTAGGAAAGCTTTCTAAATATTACCTAGGGTAGATTAAATGGCATGAAACTTTAAAAAATTATAAAATGCATCTAAATAAGATAACATAGTGTTTTTTTATGCTTAAAAACCAATCACACGCAAAGCAAAGTAAATCTTAGACGTAAGAGATAGGGTTGAGGATTTACCATGATTGAATTGATGGTTTTTTATGTTCAATGGCTTGCTGAGCTTGCAGATTGTCCTAGGATGATCTTCTAGAAGGAATAAATGGTTAGTAACGACTGGATCATGAGCCAAACAGGTTGGTGACTCTTCTCGTCAGAAACTCATCGACGACAGTTGTTGGCCGGTGGATTTTAGCTGGGGAAGCGAAGGGGAGTTGCTAGAGAATTGAAACAAAATAAGGGAAAGGAAAATGGAGCTTTATGGACTGAATGATGATGAAATGAGGATAATTGGACCTGTTGGAATGTCTTAGAGTTAGAGTTTGAAATGGAAGGTTGTGATGCATCAAGGGCCTTCATTAAATGCTCTACATCTGT